AAAWAKWRWAAAAAAATCCACCTTAGAGAATATGGCTCATTGATTAARGATTATATCTTACCTAGTAYATTAATCTTCAAAATSTCTCTCTTCAACCAATTAGTAAAAATATATTAACTACTTAAATATAGTCTAAGATATTTTCCAAAATGAATCCTAGGAATAATTAAATGTTATGTTATTATGTGTCTTTGTTATATCAAACTGAAGCGAACTGAGTGATATGTCTTACCCCATCCAAACCGAGTTGATGGTATGGACCCGTATCTGGTATCTTTTAGGAGCAAACAAATCATTTGTCAATGTAGGCCTGTCACTAAATAATAGTATAGAGGTTGTTAATATAGACCCCATATCATGCTTAAAAACTATCTTTCCTATAGCTTTGTTTTCTCTCCTGTAACAGAAAGTAAAGTCTCTGAAAAGGTTTTGCTATTTRATGTGCAAAAGGCATCTTTAGACATCCCCTCTATGACTACGTAAATTGAGTTCGGGGAGTACTTACTGAGGTCATACTGGATAACTTTCAGCACTGCAAAGTATAACATGCATCTTCTTCCTTAAAAGAAGCCAAGATCCGAGTCCATACTTCAAATTCCTAGTGAACTCTTTATCATAATAACTTATTTAAGATATGACAGGTATACTGCTATAAAATCTTAWCCTTAACTAGTACTAAAAAAATTTGGGTCTTAAACAAATCGATAACACAACAATCGATAATGAGTCAACAAAAATCAATGTTCATCTTCAAAGGTGTTATAYTGTTATAAAATCTTGACTAGTACTAAAAAACATGTGTCTTTATAACGAATGGATAGCACAACAATCGATAACGATTCAACAACAATCGATATTTATCTTTGCAACACAAGATTTATTACTAATGATAATTTCTATAAAGCATAAAAGAATAAACTATAGCAAGTTTACCTTGTTTTTTTAGTGGTTCTAGAAATTGGGAAATGGAATCAATTAAAAATCTTCATTATTAATCATTCAAAATGAGCCAATAATAATAAACCATGTAAGTTTATATTAATTATATTATCTAATCATCTCATTTCCTTCTCCCATAGCACTAAACTGTATAATGCACAAATTACCTTAGCGAACTAGAAAACCTTGATCCTTTTCACTGTGTTTTACCTAAATACTTTATGGTCATAGATAACCTAAATATTTATAAAAATAAAACTATTTCCCATAATTATTTGTATTAACTAGAAAAAAGGGAATTGAATTGAATCGAGCTCAGCTAGCCTTGTTAAGCAAGTTCCAATTATTGTAATGAATGAAAAAATAATAATCAGATAATGACACAAGGAGCCCAATACTCATGATAGATATTACTCACCTGGTGCAAATGGGAGTGCAGCAGGTACAGCTGCAGGGTAGCCTAATGCTGGTACAGCTGATATGGGTGTATGCATAAAGGGTGCATATGCTGCAGGAGCGTGGAAAGCACCCAATGGAGAAACAGGGGCTAGTGCAGGAGCCATATATTGAGCTCCAAGGAGTTGTCTCTTTGTTCGTCCACGTTTCTGAGCAATCTTGTTCTTGACATCAGCAGTTGCTACCGCATGACCTGGGAAGCCAATTGTTGAGAATCCTGGATGTGTGATTGGATGACCGTAAGGTGCAGAAAAGCCATGGTGTTCACTATAGCTGCCATGTCCTCCCCATCCTCCGTGGCCACCCCAGCCTCCCCATCTTTTCGAAGCTCTCATTGTCCTTGGAATGCTGCTACGGAAGTACTGTCCATGACCATTTCCCATCACTGAAATAACCAAAAAATCTTCAATAAGTTGTCTGTCACTAARTAAAKSCTATCTACAATTGACCAAGCAATTGACGAAGTCCAAAACTTTTCTAATTCACCATTCAACACTTTTATAACAATCAAAAGAAAACAGTTTATCTTTGATAATGAGAAGTCTTTCCTCATGTTYGAAACATTTATTGAATATTTTCTATTTATTTCATTTTAACATAGAATGCTTACACTACGTCCATGAAATAAAATCTAAWTGGTTATTAGTCATAATCACTCGAAACTCAAACAACTCATTCCCTKCATTTTTTTCTAACAAACTAAAACAACCCTCTTTAATTTAACCTTTGATTCTCATCCATTTTTAATTTTACCATTATTTTAACTGTCATAGCATGCAGTTTCTTATTGTCATGCTTACTTGGTCCATGATATCCACTAAGGCCTCCCATGCCACCATAACCATAGCCTAGTCTATAGTTGTCTCCGCTAGCATAGCCATAGCCAAGGTGGATTGTTTGTTTCTTTTCAGCTGATGGGATATCTCCCCTTGTAGCTGCTTTAACATCTTTTTGTGGAATTTTAGATTTAAAGTAGCCTGGACCATATCCACCCCAACCGCCATATCCTGGACCACCGTATCCATATCCTGGGCCACCAAATCCTGGACCATATCCTCCCCATGCAAATCCAGGGCCACCATATCCTCCCCATCCAGGGCCACCCCATCCAGGGCCACCCCATCCATATCCACCACCACATCCATATCCACCACCACATCCATATCCACCACCACATCCACATCTTTTGTTAGCTTTTCCTTCTTTTCCGTTTGCTTTTTGTGGGACTTTGTTTACTTTTCCTTTACGAAAGCAGGGGCCACCCCATCCCCATCCACCACCATAACCACCGCCATAACCACCGCCATAACCACCATAACCGCCCCATCCTACTGGTCCACCATAGCCTGGACCCCAACCGCCATGTCCCCAGCCTCCATGTCCTCCCCAGCCGCCATAGCCTGGTCCTCCCCATCCACCATGACCCCAACCACCATGACCCCATCCTCCATAGCCGCCCCAACCACCAGGTCCTCCCCATCCTCCATATCCACACCCATCACCACAACCACATCCRCAGCGCTTTTTAGATTCAGGTTTGCTCACRTCTTTCTTGGATCCTGCTGTTTGAGTTGCTGTTTTGGCACTTTTGGGAGCCTTTCTAATGCTGGATTTGTAATATCCACCATGTCCCCATCCTCCATAGCCCCATCCACCACATCCTCCACAACCACCACAACCACCACAACCTCCACAACCACCACATCCTCCACAACCACCACATCCTCCACAACCACCACAACCACATCCTCCACAACCACCACAACCACCACATCCTCCACAACCACATCCTCCACATCCACAGCCTCCACATCCACAGCCTCCCCAGTCACCATATCCATCATCCCATGGACCATGATTACAACCAATATCACCAAACCAGTCACCACGTTCGCAACCACATCCACCATTTCCACATCCACAACCACAACTATGTCCACATCCGCAGCCACATCCACCATGATGACCACATCCGCATCCACAGCCACCATGATGACCACATCCACAGCCACATCCACATCGCTTATCTTTCTTGGACTTTTCTTGGACTTCAGTGCTTCGGCGAGATTTTACTGATGACTTGGATACTTTGGATTTACAATAGCTACATCCACAGTCACATCCACAGTCATTACCGCAGCCACAACCACCACAACCACCACGGCAACCACGTCGGCAGTCATCAACAACATGCACAACATCAACAGWTCCACAATCACAACCACAACCACAGTTAGGAGCATAGCCAACGCCTACACCTATGCCGAAGCCAGGGTATGCTGGGTAGCCGCCAAGGTAGCCTCCACATGGTCCACCAAAGCCATATCCTCCGTATCCTCCGAGTAATGGGAAGCCGACACCGTATCCACCATAGCCGCCGTATCCTCCATATCCTCCATAACCACCATAGTATGGCGCTACAGCTGGTAAATATCCACCATGGGATAGGAGTCCATATCCGCAACCCCCATACCCACCACACCCACAACCATATCCACACCTCTTGTGAAGGTTTGATGGTGGCTTACAAGTACAGTCCTTCTTTTTATCTTTTCCTTTATCGTCTTTGTCTTCTGTAGCTTCCACGGATTCACGCTTGGTGGCTGAGGAGGAGGAAGGGGCATTATCCTCAGGGGTGTCGTTTTTAGTATTAGGGATCTTAGATCTATAATACCCGCAACCATTTGGATTAAACCCAAAATGTGGCCAATAACCTCCTAGTATGCTTGGTCCCCCTAAGCCATACCCACCCAAATATCCATATCCTAAGTCTCCGTATCCACCTAAGTACCCATACCCGGCTCCATAACCGTTTAAGTATCCGCCAAAATGTCCATATCCACCGAAAGGTGCATAGCTATCCCATCCCCCGTAGTCTAGCAATGGGCTATAGCCTAAGCTTTCGTACAATCTCTTATTGACTGGTTTGTTATCAGGAATTTTAGCTTTTTCAACGGCGTTAGAATTTTTTTGTGTTTGTGATTTTCGGCATCCACCATTACCGCATCCGCARCCGCAATCGTTATTGCAACCRCAACCACAATCGTYATTGCAACCACAACCACAATCGTCATTGCAGCCACAACCACAATCGTTAGAGCAGCCGCAACCACAATTATTAGCCCAGCCGCAACCACAGCCGCGGTTCCAGTTGGCAGCGCAGCCATGATCCCAGCAGGGACCCCACCCAAATCCCGCAGGAACCCCAACGCCATGACCTAACCCTGGATGGCCATAGTGAGCTATCCCTGGATACCCAAATCCCATAGGTACACCAGAACCGCCGTGAATAAATTGCCTTTTGGAAATATGTTCATTAAGTGGGGCCCTTGAAATTGATCGGCGGTACCAAAATCCAGGCCAGCCTGCCCCAGCTCCCCATGGATTATGTCCTAATGTAGCATGGCCGTGAGGAGTTTCATACATATGTATTGGGTGTATTGCGCCATGTGGACCGCCACTGACATAYGACGGATGCCCGACCCATTGCCTTTTGTAKGGGATTCTAGATCTATACCAAGCCCCCGGCCAGCCTGCACCACCCCATATACCWCCCCCACTATTGTGTGCATAGGGRGTTGGACTGCCGTGGTAATAACCTGGACCCCCCCATGCATGCCCCACTCCTCCCCAGCCAAAGCCACCGTGACCAAGCCATCGTTTTTTGGCGGACTTTGCGCTGGTTTGTTCAGGTTTCTTATCGTCAGTTTTCTCACCTTCGTCCGCTTCAGTTTCTTGATCTTCTTGATCATCACCGCTGTTGTCTCCACTGTCCGATGGACTGTTKTCCTCTGATGTTTCGCTTTCTTTCGGTGTTTCTTTTGTTTGAACGGCTTCGGGTTGTGGCTGTTCTTTTGCCGATTCTTCTCGTTTTGATCGATCACTTAGTCCATTATCTTGTGTTAGTGGTTTTGCTTGAGATAAAGCTACCAAAAATAGCGCCACTGATATATAAAGTAGCGTTGTCCACCGCATTTTGGTAGACTTCTCTTCACACTACCTGGCTCTCTCCACTGATTTGAGTGTGAATTAGTTCAGGCTTTACCTAACTCATTTCCCATTCTGATCTCACAATGGAAACGTGGCTCATGAAAAATTCACCCCACCAACCGCTGTCAGACGGATGTTTTTAGTACTATAATTCTTTAAAAAACAAGCATTTAAACCTGTATATTAGATCTAAACTGCAGAAATCTTTTAAGCTTGTTTTTAAACTATAAAACAATCCAGTTATTTTGTTTTTATTTGAAAACTGTCACAATATGTAACAATAAATATTTAAACTGGTTTGCGCTTCGTTTAGTCTAGAGAAATGTAGAATAAACGTTGACCCGTGAGAAGTCAAAACACCGGCTGTAACCTGCTATCGGTCATGATTCCTTCTTGKTACTCAATTGACTTAAACCATAAAACAGAGCACAATAAATAAACAGAAAGCGATAAGTTATTCAAACTATTTAGTTTTCATCTGGTAGCTTTATACCGTTSACTTACAGTGCCATTTCAATAAGGCAYTTTGTCAAATCAACACCTTGGTGGACTTGAATTGCTGGCCACCTACCCGTACTGATGATCGGCGTGTGATTGATAGATTGTTGGTTTTTGCTGGTTTCTCTCAAAATAGAATAGTTGAATAGTTTTATTCAACAGTTTATTTACCATTAAAGACAATTTATTTGGAAAATTGACAACACCATTCCCTATTTTGCGCGCTTTGAACTGAAGCCCCACAAGTAAAAGTGTGACCTTATTAATAGTCTCTAATAAAAGTTAAGGGCGTTGTTATTAGGATTAATAAGATTAAATTATACTCCTTAGTCGTTTGTATTTGACGGTGTTTGGTTTAAAAAAATATATGGCTATATATGCTTGTTCCTCAAGTGAACTCGCTATTTCCTCAAATAATAGCTTAAAATTGATTCGCAGGATCGAAATTTAAGATGTTTTTAAGCTAATTGTACATAACTCGCACCTTAACTGATTTCATGAACGATTTTTCACAATCTTCGCTTTGCTATTGAGCTAAATGGCTCTATGATTTTTACTGGCGCAAACTTGTAACCTTGAAACATTCCTAATTTTGAGTTTGGATTTAAGAAATGTGTGAAATAGACTTTCTAAGTGAAAAAAAAATCGAGGTTATCTCACGCAAATTGCTAGCCCAGTAATACATAATCTCTATACTGTATCTTAGAAAGTGTAGATGTTTTCACCAATTGTATGAAGACCTGCGGTGTTTAGTGACCCCTTTTACTTATMAACGCCCTGTTATTTAAATCAATAGCTGTAAATCGAAAATATTTGTTTTTTTTATTTTGTATTTCATTAAATAAGTTAATAATATACCTCTATGAGATTTTATTCTTAAAGAATATAAATATGAACAGGGTTAGGTGAGGAGTGGTTTCATAYATGAGTGAAACAGAGTGTTATAGTCAAAGTTTGTACTACACCAAAAAGACACAGAAAACCTAACTTAATAAATTGGAATAAAAATTCAGGACGCTAAATTTTTTTCATKGGTTTATGAAACCCCWCCACGTGTAATTGGAATTATTAAAGTAAAAAAATGGGAGACTAAGACTATAATAGCTATAGGAGAATGCTTGTAATCAGTCAATCAATACTTATTAATTCAGCGAAGTGTACAATATACCTGAACAAGGTAGAGTAGATTGTAACATTTATGAATTAAAAGAATTCTTTGTTTATCAAATTYGAAAAAATACCGATGTTTTGTCTCTGATTTTAAATGCAAAAATCAAGTGAAATTGAATAACAATGAAGGAATGAGAATAAAATGAACGGAGATTTCTCGCATTTACGTTGTTAAGACCTCGCGTAAGGTTCCTTGAGCTATGGAAGTTTTAACATATGCTTTGTTAATTTCTTGATTATAGTCAACCAAACGAACCAACCTCTAGACTAAATATCACAGGTACTTTCACTACGGAACCCTTGGTATTTTGAAATAGTAATTACCAAACAGCACTCTTAAAACAAAATAAATAAATGTACAATCAACGCGTGATCAAAAGTTCTAGAACACTTTACGGAGAAATGGTAGTTATTCGTGTTTACGAAAAGGAAATATCAGATTACTTTTTTGTAGCTAAATGAAGAGATTATTTTAGTTTGGGTAATTAGATTATGGCCTATCATTTRAAATTGTGTCGATTTCCTAAAATAATKTTTTGGGGGTTACTTATAACTTTTGCRYAATTTGTTCCTGACATTTAGAAAGTAATATCACAAGTTTTGCTATCATTTCCATTGTTTAGATTACCGACATGTGAACTTGATTCTAAACCTCGAATAAACGCTCGGAATAAAATTGCTTTCGCAGGCGTGTAGATTTGTTCCGGGGGTTAATTAAGAATTAGAGCTACTTCTGATAAWTCTCTACCCATTGGCTTATAAATCTGCGGTTTTTCTCCTCATTTGACTTACGCATGGGCGTAAATCGAGGTCGTTGAAGTTCATTTGTCTTTTACCAAGCGTAGAAAACACTAGCTAGACCCACCTGTCTGTCCATGGCCTTTGCACCGTATGCACCAATCATGGCGCTAGGCTCGAGTGTAATGAGTACTCGAGCCAGGTTCTCTGTTTGAGGATCAATTAAGAAAAACGGGTAGGTCTATTTTACGCTCACAGTTTTTATGAGATAAGACGACTTAATAGAAATTCTTGCCTATTGATGTCATAGCGCTAAAAACACTTCCCACTTTTCTCTACCATTGGATCTGTGATGTCATTAGGGAACAATGGTTTCACCTTCTCTCTGAATCTATGGGAATCGCCAATGATCTAAAAGGTTTAACTATGTTTGGGCGTTTTGCGCCGAATTCTTTAGCTCTACTGGCTGTGGTTGTTATTGTTCTACAGATTGTGTATAATAGTCCGGCGCTTGCTAAACCCCGACCACAACAATTCTTAAACACGAAACAATGGACAGGTAGTGCTAATGATAGACACTGGTCCGATAGTGATTCTATAGGGACTCCTCTAACCCAGAGGTTAAAGAGAAGAGTTTCCGAACAGGAAGATATACTTAAAGATCAAAATGGTTTCAAGGTTTTGACTGCTTCTACTGAGAAGAGAGAAGGAATTCAAACGCCAATAGAACCGCTTCATGAATCAAGTGTATCAAATCATGGATCAAATTTAAAATCACTAAACGATGCTGATACAAGTGGGATTTCCGGAACTGCTCGGGCAAACATCAACAGTGGCTCGGCGCAGAGTCGATCAGGAGTTTCCGTATCTAAACCTAACGAAGYTACGCCGAGTGGAAATTCGGTAAGCAKTGGAAATAATGATGCAAATGGGCAAAAACGAGAGGATGTGTCAAAAGCAAGTAAAASTACAAATAATAACAATGATACACCAAAGGACAAAAATGATAAASYAAGTGACTCAAAAACACAGGATACCCAATCAAGCCCAAATTCTGTCACRGTACAAGGAAACACTGTMAACGGACGTCCAATAAGCTCGTTAAGCTCCGACCCTGTTCGGGATCCACTCGGTAATAGCGGCGCTGAGGTCGTAACATCACAYCCACTTTTTGAAGACCGCGCACAAAACGAGCGCGGGAATTATTTAGATGCGCGTTCTGAGGATGGAGAACGTGGAGGCTCCAAGGAAACGTCTAGTGGACCAGAAGTTGGGCATTTTCAAGTGGATGATAAGTCAGCTGATTTAGAAATCAATGCTAACTCTGCTGGAGTGAAAGTTAAAGCTAAACCAGCGTCATTACAGGTTGTTTCACGACCTGGTGCACAYCCCCCTACCCCTGTCGTTCCTGTAGCTCCTATCAATCCATTTTATCACCATCATCACTTCCATCCGTTCTATGATGGATACAGGCGAAGACGCATGGGTCCGTTACATAGACGATACTATAATAGTCCATATCATGCGCATTATAGGTAAGATATAGTATATCACTTCTATTATAGACTTGATTATCAGGTTATCAGGTAATCGTTAGTAAACCGATAGTAGTAAATACTAACTTCATTAAGTGCGTGGCTTGTCGTAAGTCCGTGAAACACACTTTAGCCTACTCCACTATATTACTCTGATTTTAATTTGCTATTTTTTCTGTCTCTTCGTCGTATCACACATTTTTTTATTATTATTTTGTTGTTGTTGTTTCATGGGTTTATAAAAACCACTTATACTTTGTTTTTGATTTATGTGATATGACTATTAGAAACTATTTAACACTGACTATTACTAATTGCCTCACACTCTGATAAAGAAACAAACTCTAAATCCGTGAAATAGATATTAGTATGCTAATAGAAATCATAGAAGTCACTAATTTCATTGTTTCCTTTTGCTTCTGTTCATTATTGCACCTTGACTTTTAAATTTTATTTCGCGGGGATTCACACACGCACTCTAAGCCTGTGAAACGAAATATAATAGTCAAATGGACGCAAAAAGTAGAGTTCTATTAGTCAAATATAAATTTTTATTAAAACCACGGATCTTTCACTCTAAAATTTCAATCTTTTAGTACTTTAATAACATACAAGGCCGCGTTTATTTGTGAGCGCGAGTAGGAACATCTTTGTAATAAAATCATTTATGTATTTATAAAGAAATTTGGTAACTAGGGTGTTGGATGAGAAACAAAGAAAACACTATCTAGTGTTTTCTTTGTTGTCAAAGCATCAAAAAAAGCCAGGAAGATTATTGTTAAGCAGGCCGGATATTTTCGAAACCGCAAATTTTTCATGCGTTACGGGCAATCGTTTATAGGAAACTACCGAAAACGATGACCGTATCTAGATATTTCTGAAAAGAAAACGGTAATTGTCTTCGTGTAATTACGCTTAAGAATTTGCGGTTTAAAAAGATATCCAGACTCGTGTAATCGATACCTTTAATATCGAAAAAAGATATCAGTTATATTTCAATGTGTTGTAAAGTGYGTGTCTGATTTACCTTAACCCATTGCTTGACTTGAGCGCTAAAAGCCCATGAATTTTACCTGCCTCATTTTGACAGATACTATATTGTTAGATTTCTTGCTTTGTTTTAAAATAGAACTCATTATCTTATTACTTTAATTCTTATTTTTATTTTTTCCATTTCAAAGTTGACTTCTAGATATATTTCAGTTTAATTTTCCAAGTTTTATTCCACAAATCTTCCGTTTATGTCACCACTACAGTACCCATCAAAACTTGCTTTTTGATTGGTGTATTAATTCTACACTTCTGCTGCCACGTTAGGGTTTTATGATTGTTTGGAAGACAATCTTTCTATTATTTTTCTATTGTTTTATCCAACCAATCATAAGATTCGTTGCTATCGTAGCTGATCTTCCCAAATAGCCCTTGTTCATATATTCTCTCGATCATTCATTTTCCGTCCCTCGTTCTTGTCATTGTCATTTTATTTCCCACTTTCTAGCTTACTGATTTTAACAATTTTTTTTATTTTCACAGGAATTGGATTCCACCACCTCACTTYCATCGATATTGGCGACATTACCTCGACGATGAGCCGGCATTCCGACGAAGCTACGAACAATTCCCGTATCCATACCATCATCGACACCATCACCACTACAGGTATCCCGACTCAGATCTCTACGAACGCTCGAGAATGGAAGAAATGTACGAGTACCCGAGATTTAGACGTCGATTCCATGGACCGTATATACGGCATATGTACGATGATGACTTCGAGACAAGATTCCACATTCCTCGAGTCCCGAGGCCATTTGTCCGACMCGATATCGTCACCCCGGTCCCTCCACCGGTGAACGTATACGGTAATCCACCACCCGCTATTTTAAATGGSTCACCGGCAGCTAGATTCTTTGGCCCCAATCTAGGACCTTTCACTCCTATGCCAATGGCAGGAATGATGCCCGCAATGTATGGACCTGGACCTGGATTTATGGGACCCGGGATGCCTGGATTTGGAATGTTTGGACCAGGAATGCCGGGACCGATGGCCGGGCTGGTTCAAGGATTCGGAGAACAGGAAAGCAATGAAACACCCAGGAACGTAAAGAAAGCATCAATACAACGATCTGGAAAAACGAAGAACACGAAAAAACTAACTGAAACTCCAAAGAAGAASAGCAAACATTTGAAAAAGATTCTGAAAAAGTTTATCGGCAAAGTGCACGATACCAAATCCAGCAATTCTAACACGTTCCCTGAGGTGAAGCATCGTTCTCGCAGGTCAGCAGATGCAGAACCAAAAGCTAAGAAATCAATCAACTCAACGCATCACCTTCATCCACAGAAGAAAAAGGATCAGAAAGGCGCTCGTAAAAATGCCATTATAATGCATAGACCTCCCATCATATACCACCCACCACCAGAGATTTATCATCGACCAGATATCGTAGTACATCGGGCACCTATACTGTTACACCGACCGTCCATCATCTATCACCAACCTCCCGTAGTGGTACATCGACCGGCCATTATWTACCATCAACCATCTATTGTMTTCCACCAACCACCTCCYATGGTACATCAACCAATCATGCATTCTCATGACACTTACATGACTAGACCTATGATCTTACACTCAGCGTCTATGTTGTCACATGCGACTAATTATCTTGGCATTCCAAACCACGTGTTCGAAGGCGACTTTGGCGATTGTCATGGTTTACATTGCCGCGCTTTTCGTAAGCACGCTGTACCACATAAACTGAAAACTTCACGAGCTGAAGTACAAGGAAAGATCTCTAATAAAAGTAGTAAAACAAAAGCTAAACACCATTCCTCRTCACGGCCAAAACGTGACATCTACGCTGATTATATTGATCATCTTGAATCTATGAAATCCACSTGGGCCCCAAGAAAAGTGAAGAGAGATCTAGAGTACTTAACCACTAAAGAAGCCTCTTCAGAAGCATTGACTTTTAAAAATCCCGMTATTGGAAAGCGTGACGAAATCAGCAGAGTCCCTGAAAAGGAGTCACGCAACGGTAACAAACGTGACTTGGATGATGATATGGACGATTCTAGGACAGCCCCGAAAAAGAAAAAGGACGTTGTTGTTAATCGACCTCCAATCATATATCATCCTCCACCGGAAGTSTACCACAGACCGGATATTGTAGTACATCGACCACCGCTAGTCATACACAGGCCACCGATTATCTACCATCAGCCTCCAGTTATTGTGCATCGTCCAGCGGTCGTATACCATCAACCACCTATTGTCTTCCATCAACCACCACCAGCTGTCAGTCAACCGTTGTTGTTCTCCCATGATTCYTTTACTGTACATCCATCGTTCTACGCGACGCATCACGGATCGGTTGTACGGGACTATGGACATTACATAGGAATACCGAACATTGTATCGAACTATGGTGCCCCGTTATTCCACTCACATATGGGAAAGAGGTCYAAGATTAGCAAACCATCCAAAGGTTAGTACTGTACTTGTGACTGTTYTAATAATAATGATAAATAATGATAATAAACAATTGCTCAGCTCAACTTTAATTTTCCTTACTCTATTCTTCTCGCTGCTTTACTTCAATTAAATCTATGAATATGAGAAATTGCAACACAAAGGGGGTTTGAGAGACATTTAGCCTGGGCAACAGTGCGTTCCAAGACAAATCGAGTACATCAAATGGGGTTTAATTCTAAGTCACCCTCTTGTGTTGCCAATTTTCATTTAWATGTATTCTACTTTATTTAATTTTCCTCTTTTCTACTCAATCGGCACCGCTACTCTACTGAACTAACTGTAGTGTATTTTATCTTACTTAGTTCTATCTATTTTATGCCATTCTTATTTCCACTACTCCACTATACTGTYCAATTACTGTATGCCATACATAACGGACTAAACAACTTGTACTTCTTTCAACTCACCGTCTGTATTTTACCCCTCTTCTCTGTTCTATCTTACTTTAACCCTCTACTCTTCTCTTTTTATTTCTACTTTATTCTCCTTTCTTCTATATCTACTTTTCTCTGCTATATCAAATKCTCCCTTTTGTTTTGTCTTGTTTTTTGTTGTTTTTATGATTACTATTACTATTTATGGAAAATTTCAATTATTTGTGTCTCTTATTTTTGATTTCATTGATTGATTAATTGATTAATTAATTAATTGAATGATTGAATGATTCAATTGAATGATTGATTGATTGATTGATTGATTAATTTGTTCTTTCATTCGTTTATTCAGTTGTATTCAACGATTATTATTCATTTATTTTCTCTTCATTTTTTCAAAGGTGATAAAAAGTCTATAACACCAGCAGCGAAAAAGACAATAAAGGCACAAAAGAAGAAGACCAAYTCAGAAAAGGCCCACAAGAAGAACTCGGTGGTGATMCGTCGTCCTCCTATCATCTACCACCCACCACCAGAGATCTACCACCGTCCAGATATCGTTGTTCACAGAGCACCAATAATGATCCACAGGGCACCCATTGTGTACCATCARCCACCAGTTGTAGTCCACAGACCAGCAATAGTCTACCACCAACCTTCTTTGGTGTTCCATCAGCCTCCTCCTGTCGTTCATCAGCCTATGTATCATTCACAGGATACGTATGTCACGCATTCCGTCGCTGTACCGTATGAAAGTCACATAAGTCATCACACAACTTACTTAGGTATTCCTAAGCATGCTTATATGAACTATGATTTCCACTGGAATGACCATCACATGAGACATGGCGGTTTTGATCGCGGTTACAACAGCGAATTTCAGCACAATTACGGAGATGGATACTACAAATCACAAGTTCCCACTAACAAGAAAGCTGCAGCRCGGGACCAAATCTTGAAGGCMAAACATCATAAAAAGTCACTGAAAAAGAAGAAATCAAAAGAAGAAAAGCCAAAAAAGAAAAACTCCGTGGTTATCAAACGCCCTCCGATTATTTATCATCCACCACCGGAGATTTTTCATCGACCGGACATTATAGTACACAGAGCACCCATCTTGGTCCATCGGGCACCAATTGTGTATCACCAACCSCCGGTCATYGTTCATCGGCCGGCTATTGTCTACCATCAACCAAACATYGTGTTCCATCAGCCTTCACCAATGGTCCATCAGCCAATTATGCGTGCGCATGACACGTTTGTGACACACCCTGTTGCCAGGTTGTATGGTACAACAGTACACCATGTTGGCTCGTTTACTGCAACACCGCATTCATATTACAACGGCGAACACCATACCCGATATTTGGCGTATGGAAAGTCTAAAGTCCCTATCAGCTCGGCCAAGCAAGAGAAGGCAGACTCTCGTGATAAAATCAAGTATTCTAAAGAGATGGAGGATTTGGAGATGGGCAGCGCAAGTGGTAGCGGTGATTTCGTGGAATTCGACGACGAAGGAAGTGGTGTTAGCGGATCTGCTGACTTAGCTATCGAAGTTGTAAAGACCAAACCTGCTAAATCAAAGTTAMACAAATCAAAGGTCAGCAACGAGGATGCATCAAAGAAAGCTGAAATACCAAACAGCAAAGAGAAGGGAGCAACAGATGAGAAAGCTGCTAAAGGAAGCAAAAAGAACTCTGTKGTGATTCACAGRCCACCTATTATCTACCATCCTCCTCCAGAAATTTATCATCGGCCAGACATCGTCGTTCATCGKCCACCCATCGTGCTGTACCGTGCACCAATCATTTATCATCAACCACCCGTCGTCGTGCATCGTCCAGCRATCGTTTATCATCAGCCKGAGATTGTGTTCCATCAGCCACCTCCTGTAGTCCATCAACCAATTATGCACTCGCATGACACTTATGTCACGCATTCTGTTGTTGTACCAGTTGGAAGTCATCTCAGTAACGTACAACACTACCACGGCGTCCCACACGAAGAGATCTACATGCAAGGGATAGGCCACGGTACTTTTAGCGGCAAGACTAGGCTAGGTCATGACTCCTTCACTAAGTCTATTCTGCCACTGCGAATGCGTCACATGAAGAAACCGCTGAAGGTACGAAGCAGACGAGCTGTTGATGATCTACCCCCAGGAAAAGCAACGTTCGAAGATTCAAGGCAACCAATCGGTGCTGGAGAACGTATTCGACGAGCGGTTGAGGAGGACTTGGAGGGAGGTGAGGAAGTAAATGTTGTTTTAAAACGAAGCRGTACGGGAACGGGTGTTGAAAGAAGTGAGAATACGTTAGACAGTTTTAACTTAACAAAGAATTCTACTCATGAAACCGATCATTTGCACAATGACACTGGTAGTAAAAAAACCATCATAATCATCCGCCGGCCACCGATCCTTTTCCAYCCACCAAGTCATGTCATCCACAGACCTAATATCATGGTACACAGGGCACCTATCGTTGTCCATCGTCATCCATTAATCATTCACAGACCACCTATATTGCTTCATCGTATGCCGATTATCATCCATCGTCCACCTGTACTCATTCACAGACGGCCAATGATTGTTCATAGGCCTGATCTTGTATTCCATCGTCCACCAGTYCTTATTCACCGTCATCCATATATTGTCCATCCACATCCATATTTGATTCGCCGACCACCTATAGTCATCCATAAAGGTCCACAAATGATGGTCCATCACTCTCAGTACATCCATCATTTCCCAACGCATATCATTCACATGGGATGCCAYGGGTGTGGCTGTGGAGGGGGGATGTGTGGAAAGAGTAAGGTCCCCAAGGTTACAAAGAAAGATGTAACGAACCTGAATGCCACTGAAGAAAATCACAAGACCCTCAGTGAAAATTTTGCTTCAGATCTTAAGATCAACAGCCAAGGGATTAAAGATATTACAGGGAATTACAAGTTCTCATCGCAACCCGAATCAGATCCCGAGGGACTAAGCTCATTTGATTTTAAAATCTCAGAGAACCCATTGAAACAGACCGAGGGTTATGCTAGTACTAATAAGGACAAACGCTCTATTGCAGATGAAAATAAAAAAGATGAGCATGCAAAGAATAAGAAAAAGAAAAAGAAAGACGTAGTTGTCAGTCGTCCGCCAATAATCTATCACCCTCCCCCAGAAGTTTACCACAGACCGGAAATCGTTGTGCATCGCGCACCAATACTTATTCATAGGCCACCCATTGTATACCATCAGCCACCAGTTGTAGTACACCGCCCTGCTGTTGTCTATCACCAGCCACCAATTGTGTTCCATCAACCGCCTCCAGCTGTCAATCAACCATTGTTGTTTTCTCATGATCAGTATGTACTGCACCCGTCTTCAATAGCCCAGCATATTAACTCGGTAGTCAACCAAGGAGGACATTATGTTGGAATACCTCATGGTGGTATAGAGAACTTCCCTCATGTCGTCGGAAACTTCCCAGGTCCAATGCATTCATACGGACACCCAGGATATCCAGGATTTGCAGGCGGTGCAGGCTACAAGAGAGGTAAAGTTCAAAGGCCCGATAAAAAAGAGGCCAAAAAGGWCAAAAAAGAAGATGATGATGATTTCAGTGGATCAAGCTCCGGTGAAGATGGCTCAACAATGAGCACACCCAAGAAGAAAAAGCATTCAAACGCACATCGTAAGAACAATGTTCTTGTATACAGGCCTCCAATGATCTATCATCCACCCCCTGAGATCTACGACCGTCCTGATGTAATAGTACATCGTCCTGATCTGGTTGTTCATCAGCCTTCCATAGTGTATCACCAGTCATCTATTGTGATTCACAGACCCCCGATCGTCTACGACCAACCACCTATAATGTTCCATCAGCCTCCACCGTTAACCCATCAACCTATAGTTACATCTCATGACATGTATGCAGCACATCAGTACTTTGAACCCGTAGCGAGCGCATACGGTAACTCGTACGGTAGCTCAATTTCGCATGTTGGGTCCTATGTCGGGGCTCCGCATTATTTCCCAGGAGCTAACGCGTATGGGTGGAACATGCACCCTACTGTGAATGGACCTATTGGACCTGCGTTTGGACCAGTTGGACCCCCAAACTATGGTCCTTACGGCCCAGGGTATGGACCAGCTAATGCTCCTTCTTATGGACCTGCAGTTGGTCGATCGGTAGTGGAAAAGAGTTCCAAAAAGAGCAAGAAAAGTAGTAAAAAATCCCATAAGAAGTCAAAAGTCCGAAGCAAGAGATCAACTTCTTTGAAGTATCATCAACCTACGTATTCATTGCTTGATCATCATGAATCGTTCTTCTCAAATCCATTAATACACAGCTTCCATAGTGAGAGTTTACCGCATGGTCGAGGACCAGTATATGAAAAATCWAACGTCATATTAAAGAAAATATCCAAGAGAAGCACAAAGGGGAAGAAACGACATCATCACAAGAAAGGCGACCGAAAGAACACTATCATGGTACATCGCCCACCATTAATATATCACCCTCCTCCTGAGATTTACGACCGTCCCGACGTTGTCGTTCACAGGCCTGACTTAGTCTTCCATCGGCCATCTATTGTTTACCATCAGCCATCGGTAGTTGTGCATAGACCTCCTATAATATACCATGAGCCTCCAGTAGTGTTCCATCAACCTCCTCCTATGGTAAATCAGCCAATTGCGCACTCTCACGACACCTATGTAGCCCACCACTACTTTGAACCTGTTCACGGGCCAGACGGCCAAACGGCCAGTTTTGTRCAGCACGTTGGAACCTATACAGGATCGCCGCATTATTATCCTCTCATGCGTTCTCATTATTCATTTGCGCACGCCTTTGGYAAGTCAAAGATTTCAAAAACAAAGACTAAAAAGCACGCTAAGCATCGTTCTAAGCGATCATCTCAAGTACAGAAYACAGCTGAGAAGACCGGAAGTAAGAAGAATAATGTCTTGATAATGAGACCYCCTTTAATCTACCATCCACCTCCAGAAATCTACGACAGACCTAGTGTCATTGTTCACCGACCAGATTTAGTMATTCATCGGCCTTCGATAGTCTACCATATGCCATCAGTTGTGATCCATCGGCCACCTATAATCTACCAGCAGCCTCCAGTAGTATTCCACCAGCCTCCACCCATGAACTCACAGCCGATAATACACGCACATGATTACTACCGGCCTCACATCTACCCTGAACCTTATGCCTCAAGCATAGCWCATGCAGGAACTTATGTTGGGGCGCCTCATCACTTCGAAGGTGGATGGGGCTTTGGGTTCCAACCACATGGTCCTACGGGGCCAGTGTACGCGAAATCAAAGGTACCTAAGTCGAAAACTAATGCGAAACCGAAGACAAAACGGAGCACTGAAGACAATGAAAAGAATACTAAAAGCGCAAAGGAAGGAGATAAGAAAAACATAGTTATTGCGCACCGACCTGATTTCGTGTATCACCCACCACCAGAGATTTACGACCGCCCTGATATCGTCGTACACAGRCCAGACTTTGTTGTCCATCAGCCTTCAATAGTATATCATCAGTCGTCTGTTGTACTTCACAGACCACCAATTGTTTATAATCAGCCACCRATAATCTTCCATCAGCCACCGCCTATGGTACATCAACCTATAATGCACTCGCATGAAACTTATGTAGGACATCCCTACTTCGAGTTCCAACCGCACAACTCGTTTATGTCACACGCAGGATCGTATGTTGGTGCACCTCATCACTACATTGGAGGTTTTGGCTACGGATATGAAGGACATTTGCACGCCGGGCAYGCCTTTGCTAAGTCGAAGGTTGCTAAATCATCTAAAAAATCCAARAAAGCAGAGAAAGGATCAAAGCGAAGTAAAGTTGATAAAAAGCATACCAAGAAGTCAAAGAGTAAGTTTACTAAAGGACACAAGAAGAACCTTGTTGTGATGCAACGTCCTAATGTTGTTTATCATCCTCCTCCTGAGATCTACCATCGTCCTGATGTTATACTGCATAGACCTGACATTGTGATTCATCGACCTTCAGTTGTATTTCATCAACCTGCTGTAGTCGTCCATCGTCCTCCTGTCGTCTATCGCCAACCACMCCTTGTCTTTCACCAGCCTCCTCCGATGGTCAATCAACCAATTTTACACTCGCATGAAACCTATTTGGCTCATAATTACTTCGAGCCTCATCACTCCCACGTGGTACATGCTGGTAACTTTGTTGGTTCCCCACACATCTTCCATGGAGGATGGGGCTGGGGCTATGGCACTCATCACGGACTAGGCCATGCCTTCGGTAAGTCGAAGGTAGAAGGGACTGACGATAAAAAGAACAATGATAAATCAAAGAAAGACAGCGAAAAAGAACATGAAAAAGATGACAAGGAAAATGATGACGATGACGAAGGYGATGACGATGATGAGACCGAGGGCACTAAGAAATCAACATTCCATCATAACAAAGCCAAAAAAGGGCATAACAAATCAAAAAGAAACATCCACGAACATGATTTCTACTCTAARTTGTTTGGAARAGTTTACAAAAAGAGATCAACCAAAACAGATACTAAAAAATCAAAGAAGAATCATTTCAAGAARTCATCGAAAGGCGAAAAGAAGAACACAGTACTTATACATCGACCTCAGTTAATCTACCATCCTCCACCAGAGATTTACGACCGGCCAGATGTTGTCGTACATAGACCAGACCTCGTATACCATCAGCCATCTGTAGTGTACCATCAGTCGTCTGTAGTGGTACACCGAGCACCAATCATCTATCATCCACCACCCGTTGTGTTCCACCAGCCTCCACCATTGGTCCATCAGAATGTTCTCCATGCGCATGACACCTACATTGCACACCCRTACTTTGAATTTGATCCACATGGATCGTCTATCTCTAATGCTCATGCGCATGCCTATCACTATACTGGAGCACCCCATTTCTTTGGCGGTGGGTGGGGCTACGGCTATGGTCACTCGTTTGGTTCCTATGGCCCAGGAGCTGTCCCTGATGGACCTTTCTATGGGGGACCCCATGGCCCAGCTCCTTATTCCTTCAACGCTCCTGCGCCTTATACGGTCCACGGCCCAGAGCCTTATGATGTCCAAGGTCCAGCGCCTTATACGGTTCACGGTCCAGTACCTTATGATGTCCAAGGTCCAACACCTTATACGGTCCATGGTCCAGAGTCTTATACGGCACAAGGTCCAGCGCCATATACTGTCCGCGCTCCCATTCCAGCTAAGCCTTCTCCGGCTTCAGTTCCTCTGCAAGAAGCACCGATCGCTAAATCAGATGTTCARAAAGTCCACAAACACAAATCGACGGGGAAAAAACGTCACCATCGCGACAGACGAAATGCCGACAAAGACCAGCCAACAAAGAAATCAAAACGTAAGAAGTCTAAAGATAGACACCATAAAGGCCACAAAAAGCAAGTTGTTGTAAGTAGGCCTCCGATCGTCTACCACCCTCCATCAGAGATTTATCATCGTCCTGATTTAGTCTATCATCGTCCCGACATAGTTATYCATAGACCACCTATTGTAATGCATCAAGCGCCAGTCGTTGTACACAAGCCTGCGATAGTATACCATCAACCTGATATAGTCGTACATCAGCCTCCTCCAGTTATCCATCAACCCGTGTTATACGCTCATGACACCTATGTACCCCGTACATGCTATCAACCCTAYTGCAGCCATATTGTCCACGGTGGGTACGTAGGACCCCCTATGGGATGGACTAATGGTTATGGTCACATTGTCAAGTCTAAAGTTGCCAAGGCTCATAAGAAAAGCGTTACAAAGAATAAGCAAGTTAAAGCATCTAAAAAAGCTGAAATAGCTCRTGCTGAAGACGAACCAGCTGCTAAACCATCGAAAAAGAACGATATTGTTGTGAGTAGACCTCCGATTATCTATCATCCTCCACCGGAAGTTTATCATCGACCGGACATTGTAGTACATCGAGCTCCTATCGTTCTTCACAGACCTCCTATMATCTATCATCAGCCACCGGTGGTAGTACATCGACCTGCCGTTGTCTACCATCAACCGCCTATTGTATTCCACCAGCCACCACCGGCTGTACATCAACCTATATTACACTCACATGATACTTTTGTAGTCCATCATAATGCTCTGTACGAGCCACGTGGATCTATGGTCTCGCACCAGACGAACTACATCGGTGTYCCATCGCATGTAGAACAATATGACGGAGAAATGGAATCAGAAGACGACCACCATGGTTACCGCTCATATCATGGAGGTTACCATGGAGGTTTCCATGGACGCACCATGCATGGTCATAAACAACAATACGATGATGTACATTATCGATCGAAAATTGAACATGTTAAAGAGGCGTCTGCTGATAGTGAAGGGTCCAGTGAGGATACCAGCGAAGGGTCGTCAGAATCAGGAAAGGAGAGTCATTCAGACGAAGCTAAAACAAGAACAAGAAGACAAGTGCTCGGGTCACATTCTCTGTACCTTACTGAAACACCTTTAAACATTATCCATCCAAGAGCACCAATAKTTGAACGGTTACAAAAGATGTCAACTATACCGCGTCCTTCAAACGTTAAGTCTAAACGAGATGCTGAACCAAAGCGAAGGAAAAGACAGATTGATGAGTCTGAGGAAGACGCGTTTCGAAGCATGAATGCTGGTAGCGCACCTCAAGAAATGCAATCAGCTTTWCCATATCAACGCTTTGCGTATCCAAGACTGCCTTACTTTCAACCGCAGAATCCCTTTTTACCGTTCCATCGTCCTGAGGTCCGTGTTCACGTAGAAACGCAAAGATCTAAGATCCCTAAAGACAAAAAGACATCTAAAAARCCTAAGCGTCAAGTCCTCCCATATGTTCAGCAACAAGTACTTGGTCCAAATCTYATGGTTCCACCTCCACCTGCACGACCTGTGCCATCACAGTTTATTGGATTTCCACCCATTCATCCAGTAATGCTGCCATATCCATATATGAGCTTCGCGCCAAAAAGACCACGTGTGAGCATAAATGTACAGTCAGCACGATCGAAGGTTCCACAGCCGTTGTTAAAGAGAAGTGTTAAAGGTGAGCGAAAAAAGAGACAATTACTCTCTCCGTATGTAAACCCTTATTTGTTGGCTATRCGTCCAAACCCTTTTGGCCCGCAGGTGATGTATCCGAGGGCAGTTAGCCCGTATTGGAATCCCTTTCTCGTACATCAAAGTTCGGGAATCCCGCATCCCGCCGAGCCCAGAAATCTGCAAACATTGCTTAATAACTATCTAAACTACATGTACGAACTTTACACAGGAGGATTATTCCATTACAAACGCCCCAAAGTCAGCGTCGATGTCCATACATCCAAATCAGACATTCCAGGATCTAAGTCACATGACATCGTCTTGCGTAGTAGGAGACAACTTTGGAATTATCTCCCAGTCTCTCCTCTAACAACTGGTGAATATCACTWYCCTKGGTTATTGAAAAATATGGCTCCTTTAAAACGTACAAATATCGAAAAGAAAACTAAGAGATCTGCAAATATTAAGGGCGTTGATAAAGACAATGAGAAGAACGCCAAAAGAGATGAATTTGCTCCACAGGCAGATCAGAATATAATGCCAATGAACYCTGATAATACAGCGCCATTACAGTTTAATAATGGAGATCAAAACAAYCAGGCATTTAATACAGGAGCAGAGGGTTTRAATGAATTAGGACCAGGGGGGCTGAACGGTGCTGCAGCTGAACCTCCTCAAACGCAAAGTTTCTTTGGAGGAAACGGCGGCGATGAACAAAGAGTTGTCAGTGACAACGCCAATTTACAAGAAATTGCCCAACAGCAACAAGATCAACCTCAGGTTCCCGGTGAAAACTCCAACGTTCCAATTGGTGTACCACAAAACTCTAATGATTTCCAGGAACTTCAAGCTGCCAACAGAATGGCAGTACCTAATAATGAAATAAACCAACTTCCTGGTCAAGCGGGACCATTCTTGCGTCCTTCAGCTCCGCTACTAACACCTCCAATGCAACCAATGTTCCCAKTACCACCTGTGATTGGTCCGCCTCCTTTGTTKAGGCCGTTCGCACCCATTCTCCCACACCAACKTTTACCACTTCAGTCGCCATACCAGACTTTCTTTGGACCTACAGCCCARCCACAAGTCAATGTGAATGTTAATACTGTMAAATCAACGCTTCCTCGTGTTAAATCCAAGGATAAAGTAAAGGCTGACGGTAGGGCTGGGAGAGAACACAATAAAAATAATTCCAAACGGCAACGCATCTCACTCTTTCAACGCATGCCCGCGCTGCAAGTGTTGCCACAAAGATTCTTACAAGATGGTGTACAAATTCCTTCGTTTTCAGGTAACAATAATGCAAAAGAATCAAAAGATCAGACTAACGACGTTATCGTCACCGAAGTAAGACGTAAGCACGCTATTCCAATCAATTCCAGCAACAAGGAAACACCACAAAAGCGTCAATTCTTTCACCTCCCTGTTCAGCCCATCCAAACCGTTCAGCCTTTAGTCTCTCCCCTTCTTCCGCTCAGTTTCCAAAATCGACCTAAAGTTCACGTACAAGTTCAGATTGCCAAAAGAAAGTCTAAAGTTTCTTCAATTAAAGACGGACAGAAGGAAACAGACTCTGTTAAATCCAAAAGACAAATTTACGGCATGAACGAGCTTCCACATGGACTTGAATTTCCAGACGATAAAGCAAATACTTCAGGCGATAAAGTTAACGCCAAAAAGTTCAAGATTCGAAGTGAGGAAGATTCTGAGGATCCCAAGGACGCAGCAAAGACAGTACAAAAGCGAGATACGGAAGAACCAAAGAAATTCACTAAGACAAAGACGGAAGATAAAAAGAGGCAGTTTGTGTCACCATTTGGAGGTGAACGTCAGCAAGACTTCACTGGCAATGAAGAACCTCCTCGCGAAGCTCAACAGGATCAACAGGCTTTGCCCGAGGAGCRACTACCGTTTAATCCGAACGATCCTCAGGCGGCTTTCCCCCAGCCCGTGCCAGAACCACCGGCGTTACAGCCTGCAGGTGTAGCACAACCACAGCCTTTACTTCAAATGGCAAATCCATTCACACAGCCTCAAGTTAACGTCAACGTTCAAGTTGCGAAAAAGTCAGTCGCTGAAAGAGTAACGACCGAAAAACACAAGACTTTTTCTAAAAGGCAGTTGTTTGGAACCGTACCGTTGTTAGCGGCTCCATTAAGTCTTGCTAATGTCAATACTATAGCTAAGACAGGCAACGAGAGATCTAACGTCCCCAATACTAGTGTTCCTAGTAAAGAAAAGAGACAGATCGCTCAGCCAATAGTCGCTCAGCCAGCGTCGTACGTGGTTACTAGTGACTCCCAGCGAAAGGTGAATATCGATGGACAGACGTCGCGTTCTGACATTGGTCGTATTAAGAGACAGCTGTACAATATCTTGAGTGGACAACAGGCTCAAGCTGAACAGAAGCCCCAGGTTAGTTGAAAGGATGAAATTGTCGTAATTGATTTGAGTGCAAGCACTTCGAAAATACACAAATACATATCGATTGCTTCATGAGGTTCTGAAAATCGTTCTCCATTCATTGCTAAGTATTTACTGAACCTCTCAAAGATATTCTCTGTAAAATGACTACTAAAATACGGACAATCTCCTACTTAAAGAAATGCCAGTGTTTCGTGTTTCTGTTGAATAGTGTTTGCACTCAAACCTCTGTAAATTTGTGCAAGTCGTTTGCACAGCCGTTGCATGCAAYCTGTTATCATGACAGACTGAGGTAGTTTACTGGTGTACATCTGACTTATTCGACATAGTTGGTATTCTATGTTCACGCGCGTTGTGCACAGGCTGCATTCAACAGTTGTAGCAGACACTATAAAAGAACAGTTCTAGAAACCCGTGAAACAAAATGTATTTAAAAAACGATATTCGCTGTCTTACCAAAGCCACTCTACAACTATGGCCTGATAAAACTGTTATGTCCTGAAGTGTGATCTGTATATTCTACTCAAATGAGATGCAATGTTTTGAATCTGTGAAAGTCACCTATATTTGCATATCTTCTAATGAACTAATCGAACATTATTCGGGCGTTAATCATTAATCATTCTAGTCGTAATAGCATATTATCAGGCACTATTGATCACTTCTTGAATACTTTTTGAACAAAAGCCGCATTCTAATCTAATTCTTTGTTGCTAATCGATCGTTATTCAGACTAATCGTTCCTTGCTCGCTAATTAATCGGACCTTGCTCGGATACTAATCGAACCGTTCTCGAATACTATTCGGAACGAATTCGGGTATTAATCGGATATTCAGATATTACTCTGACTTTGCTAATATCTAATTTGCTGTAATTTTTACGCTACTCTGAATAATTTAACATATAATACTTAATTTATTTGGAGAGTACAGGACAAATGTTTCGGTGATGATTGGCAGGAGAAGCGTTAGATTTACGGGACGTTTGTTGTTTTAGGTGGAGTTGTCTCGTCGGTCTCTCTCAGAGCAAATAAATGTWAAAGGCGATAAATCAGTTCCTAAAGTAAAACGACAATTAGCCAACCTTATCAACAACCTATTACAGCGTAGAGGAGGGCCCAGGCTCCTACAAAACATCCTGAAACAACGTAAACCGTCTATTCTGTTTAGTACCAACAATAATAACAACGATAATCAGAAGCCTATTGAAATCTTTGGGGAAAACCCTCCAACAAGGGGTAACAATGAAGGAMGGGGKCAACCACGCCCTAATGATATAGGTGCTGGTKCACCGATGATGGACATGACATCAGCTCCTCCGAATGCATTTGCTGGTAACCCTTTTGATCCTGCAGCACAAAATATCCAACAACCTGTCAATACTCAAATGACGCAGCAAGGTGTGGTTCAAGACCAAGGTCAGGCCTCTTTTAGAAGCCAAGATGAACCGAGCAGTAGGGGGAATGCACTTCGATATTTACAGAATTCTCCAATACCGAACTTTATAGCACAAGAGCAAGCTCGTCAACAAGCACAGCAACAGTTTATAAATGCTCAGAAAGCTGAAATAAATGCTCAGAAAGCTGAAAGGAGGATGTTCCCTCCTCCACGAACATTCTTTCCCCCACCAATGCCRCCACCACCTTTCCTACAGGAACCTCCTTTGCCAGCTAACCGTCCTTTTCTGCAACGACCTCCTTTTGAAGAAAGACCTACATTCCTTCAACGACCGCCTCTACGAGCTAACCCTGCACTTGAAGGTCGGCCACCTGGAGGACTCCAATTCGGACTACCGCTACCCCCAATGATGCCACAGGTACCCCCAATGTATCCGATGGTACCGCAGTTACCCCCTCCTGGACTACCGCCTTTCTATCCATTTATGTTCCCACCTATGCAACCGGGAAACATGGGCCCTTTTGGCCAAAACAGTGAAGACGATGACCGTCCCTCAGTGAGTGTAAATGTCGAGACGTCAAGATCCAATATTCAGAAATCAAAGAATAAGAAAAAACCCTAGACAGTCGTGGGCTGTTGTCGGAGGTGAGTTTCTACAGAATAACGATGGTATTAGATGGCTCTGAGATGGATTGCCGATTGATGGATTTGAAGTGTTATTTTATGGCCATGGGTGGATGATTTCATGAGTGGTTACCCAAGGCGTCAATTAAGATTTGAGAACGCGAATTTTTCTTTTTTTTATGGATCGGTACGTGTGAATGATCGAAGTGAATTAGTTTGTATTTCTCGATTTTGAAGAGAATAWTAGGATAGGTATTACTGCTGCATGTTTTCGTACTCATAGCATGTTAGGCAGCCTGTGCGCGGCGCATGGCGCTTTGGACAAGACAAACTAAAATTTAAAATGACTATTAACTGCTTTACCATAAATAACAATTTAAGTTGAGATAGCTTGGGTAATAATTATAAACATTTGCGAATAACTACACCTTTTACCGACATWACGTCCACCTTTATTAATTCCATTTCTTTGCTACAAGACGAAGCAGAGAAAGCAATTTTTACACAAAAATTGTCCCTTGGGCATCCTGTGAGTCAATATTATAGCAGTATGCATAAGCGCAAACATAAGCACATCATCAAATCAAAATTTGACATAAGCACAAAAAAGCATATTACTTGCAGTTGTGCTTATGCAGTTAGCCTTAGGTATTGACTTGAGCTTATGTTTTTGTTTATGCACCATTGGAAACAACCTTTTTAAGATCGTTTTAAAAGTGTTAGTCCTAAAATATCTTATCTTCTTTCCTTTCAGAAATAAAGTTTTTTACAGAACCAAGACTGCGCTGCAACAATAGTATTTGACAAGTGTCGTCACCTAAAAGGCACGCAGTAGCAACCAATCACAGTACAGTAATTCCTTATGTTGCCTGCATTGCAACGATCCAGCAGTAATTCGTCAAAAGGCTGGAGAAAAAACGTTCCTCTACRAGTGGTAAATGTTGAACTTTGATTTTCTAAGAAGTATTTGCATCTAATTGAGAACATTTTATGGCATGAACTGTTTGTGTAAGTAAGATAGACATTAGAAGACCATTTCCTGGTTTAGTGTTCTGTACAATACAGGACTATACCTTCATAAGGTAGAACACGCATTGGATTATGGGATACTTTGAGTTACAAAGTTATATCCTGAAAATAACTGATTCTTTTATAGAGTATTTCGAAAAAAGAGAAAATATCTAATTTCAAACAACTATTAGGCTTAAAAAATGTTGCATTATCACGATAGAGTACCCAAGGTATCCCATGGTGCTTTGCGTCATGAGTTGTACTATAAGAAAATTATAAAGAATTATAGGAAAGTGAACTGAACTTAAATAATCRATAATAAAGTTAGTATCTGAGATTACATCCCAATTAATACAAAAGGAGTTAAGGAGTTATAGAAAGTGTTTTTTTGTGAGTCAAGGATCCTAGTCACGTGACGAGCGGTCATGACGTTTAAGTCTATCACTATAATAATTGACCGCTAATGAAATGACGTAATCATAGGAACATGAGATTAGCGTTSGTAGATTTCTGTTGATATTTACTATGAACAGCGCCAAGAGATTTTCTATCAATTATGATATTAATCATTAAAAATAGTGTTTGAAATAAATACTTTACTTTTACTTATGTTGTTATTCATTTGTCATTTGTATATACRATTTCCAGGAATCGCAGGCACTTTCAATTACATCAAAGGTGACTGTATTTTTATGCATGTAACTGCAATATTTTTGAAAGTGCCTGCATATTTTGGAAATAGTCTTGGTATAAGAGTACTTCACTTGGACGTAGATAGTACTATTTATTTCACTGTTAAGAGTGTACACATTAGTGCTTACAGCAACAGTAGTTTTAGTAGTAGAGGTTTTAATGGTATTATAGGCACAAATAAATGTAGTGTGGTAGTAGCAGTGAGTGCAGCAGCAGTAATATTAGCCTGAGTTCATCCAGCATTTACCCGTAAACACGGTTAATTTTGAAAATAAACCAGATATACGCAGGCTACAGTAATATTAGTGATGAAAGAACTGGTGGAATCACAAGGCACAGAAGCTTTCTGTCTTATTGTTATACCAATCTTCATAACCTCTGGTTCCTATGGAAATGATATATTTGGTGACATTTTACTTCATCATATACAGATGACCTAATTTGTGGGTTCCCTGTGGTAAGTTACTTTCAAAATTTTTATCATGAAAACTCACCAAGACTCCCTTAAACTGTATAATAACTTTTGTAGCGTTGAAAACGAAACTTTTGTGAATTGGCACATTTTCAATTGGGCTCCCTGTGGTAATTTAAATGCAAAAATATGTGCCAGGCTATTTTGCTCATTTGCGGGTTCCCTGTGGTAATTTGCTTACCCAGGCCTAACCGCGCGTCAATCACAAATGTCCGCCATCTTGCGTGGAAACGGAATATATACAAAGAAATTCGAGAAATTATACTGTTTAAAGGTATTTTATTGACAAAATCATASATTAATTTTGTAAATTATGCTATCATGTCTATTTCAGTGCAATGTTTATAGTTGTACATTTCATATTGATGTTGTTTGTCGATTTCTTACCATCAGTTACTGCATGCCATCACTCATTACACTTTGCTTATTAACTTATAGTAGCCTATTTAAGCACCATTTAATTGTTGCCTATGATATAATGTTCTGTGAATGTCTATCTAAACTATYTCTTAAACTTGTATATGGCGTGTATTTAGGTGAAATGTCTTCGTCTTGAATTGCCAACATGGCTGGACATAAGCTGTTGGGGTCAAAGTTGAAAACTCATTAAAACTTTTACTTGTTKATTTTATGTCACTCAAGTTTTGAATGTAAACCCAATGTATAGCTCAAAGAGCTACGAGTGATAATAGATTGAATGATTTATTATGGAGTGGGAAGGGTGGGAAGTTGCATGTTATTCATATACTGTTTTTTAAGTTACATGTATTTAAATTGTATCTCTTAGTGTTCTATTGTATAATGTTTTCAGTTTCATACTTGTACAAAATTTACACTTAACTTTTATCCATTTATAAGAATCACTCCTTCCAAGAAGAGTTTGAACAACATCTAAAAAAGTTAACCAGGTTCATGATATTTGATCTCTTATTGCTGATATTATTATTTGCAGGTCATGTTTACAATTGCCAGGGAACAAGCCAACCTGTTGGATTCAACACTGCTGATTTTTCCCCCAAACAATAAAAAAATCTATTCCCATCTTTTTCCCACCAAGACAAACAGATCTTGGTAAACAAACCTTCCTTTCCAGCCTACCTTTCCCATTCATCTCTTACTTTTTACCTTCTTTCATATCAAGGTAAAGTTCAAGTATTTTTTTCGTTTCATTTTATTGATTTTCTGTACATTTGATACATTAATGCAGATTCCAAGATTTGAAATTTTTCGTTTCTAGTAATCTGGTATTTGAACTTTACCTAAGTCTTGAGTACCCTGTTACAATGTGTCCTTCCACACTGGTGTAGTTTGTCATTTGTGTTTTTGTCATTTTTGACTCTGTTGATGTAAGCATAGGCAATGCATTCCTATACTTGTGGTCGTTAGAGGWCTTCATACAATGAATTTAATCTCGTTTACCTGTTAATTTTGTGTCTATTTGCCTATGCTTGACATCATGCTATCCTAATGTCTGATGTCATATCACAATTTTCCATTTTATGCTAGCCTGCATTACATCCAGTTTTCACTACATTAGAGCTGTTTCTATAAACTTGTGAAATACACTCCAGCACACTGTCTTTCTCTGTTTTGTTTTTCCTGATGTATGTATTACAACATTTTTAATATATTCTCACAGTTTTATGGAAGTTTCTCTAATGTTAGTGTTCATGGAGTAAAATGCTGTGTATCCTGGCTAGTGTTTTGCCTGCACCCAAGTGAACAGGCTGTTCTTTGRCAATAGTGTTTATCACCAGACTGTGAAGTAGAGAAGTAATTTGTGGGCTTAAAATTTTCAGAATGTGTAAAATGTGTTGAGAAAAACTTCTTCTTGCTAAGTGTTCCAAGATTTTTCATGAAAATCCTCGCGCTGCAACTAAGCAGAATTGGTGAATATCCATATTGTTTCTACAATTGAAAGATAACATGCAACTATCTACTAGAAATGGCTTTATTGCTAAACCTGTGCTCAAAACATTCACTCCAGATTTATGTGATGCTTTTTTATTGTTCAACAAGGGAATGGTATGTGYCTATATAAGCTTCACTATTTCACAGTCTGGCTAAAAGACCAAGTGCATCTGAGAGCCTCTTCCATTTTGATATGCAACAYTCTCAGATACCCATGGGCCTTTGAGTATATGCACATTTGGATCATATATAAACTTGACTAGAAGTCTGTGGATGACAAGTCTTGATTTATCAATTTACGTGACAATTCGACTAGTGCTTGCGACATTATCTCATTCTCTTGAAAATAAAGTGATGAAACATCAAGTAAACTGATAAATTAAATCTTGTCAATCAAA